AAGGAGAACTCACTCTAGGAGGCGGCGGTGGGGGGAGGGTAGTGAGTGTCCAGTCGGGCCCTACAAGTGCCCGCCTGACATCAGTGGTGCCAATTGATCTCTACAGATATCCTGCTGGATGACATCGTCCTCACCCATTCTCTCTTCCTCCCCACGGAGAAATTTCTGCAGGAGCTACACCAGTAATATCCTTTTATGGAGCCTGCAAAAGGGGAGGTCGGGAGGAAGCCACTCCCCCTACCCAATGTGTGATGTCAGGGCCTCCACTCTTCCCTAGAAAATACACCTTGGTTTCAATTCCAGGGGTTTTACTCAGCAGCTGCGTGACCTTGGGCAGACCACTCAACCTCCTAAAGCCTCAGTTTCCTCTTCTGTAAAAGGGGGTAAATAGCACCTGCCCTGCCTACCTATGGGGCTGCTGTGGAGATCAATCTGATAGTAGATGTGGGAGTGCTTTGGAGACTGCAGAGCCCTCTGCAAGTGTAAGGTGTTATTATTCTATTAAGAGTGCCTCTCTCCCCCACTGGATTGCTGCTCTAAACATCTGGTTGCCCAGTGAGTTATTATAGGGTCCGATGTAAACATCAGGTCACAGCTATGCTTTAGTAAGGTCTGCTAGAGACAAGCCACTGGCTGAGCTATTCATAGGGTCTCATGTAAGCATAGGGCCTCTTGCTGAGTTATTTTAGGATCTAATTGTAAATGTCAGGCCACTGTGTAGAATACCATAGGCTCTCTTAGAAACACCGGGCCTTACACTGAGGTATGGTCAGGTTTGTGGTAAGGATCATTGGCCTTTACCAGCTCCAGGTTATGGGCCAGTCAGAGGTTGGGTGGGTCCTGGTAGGGTATCCTCAAGTGAAATTCAAACAGGCAGGATGTGGTCAGATGGATATGGTCAAGTGGATGCCATCCACACCTACTGTGAGAAAAATACCTGGGCTGAGGCATGAGGGGGTCTTGGCTCCAGGGACACCTGGATCTCCTTTCTTCTTGGCCCCAAGCCTAGAGAGCATTTGGGAGGGCTTAAGCAACCACTGCCTCTCATCTCCCTTCCCAGTTTCTTCAGGTCTCCCTGCTTGGGGCTTTTTCTTAACTAAGGGGTCAGCTTTGTTTGGGCAGGAGGCATGGAGGGCCCCGAGGGGCTGGGTCGGAAGCAAGCCTGTCTAGCCATGCTCCTTCATTTCCTGGACACCTACCAGGGGCTGCTGCAGGAGGAAGAGGGGGCCGGCCGCATCATCAAGGTGGGCCTGGGAAGAGAAGGCGGGTGAGCAGGCTATTAGCTCTGGAAGGGGACCCCTTTGAAGGAGCCATACTCCTCAAGCTGGGTACCTGGAAGAAGATGCCTGTGGGCCTTAAGTTTATACGGTCCCTCTGTGCTCCAAGGCATGGAGACCCTGCGCCAGCCCTTGCCGATAGTGATGCTTGGGATGACACCCCTGCCTTCACCTTCTCTCTCCTCTGCTCCCCAGGATCTGTACCTGCTGATTATGAAGGATGAGTCCCTTTACCAGGACCTTCGAGAGGACACACTGAGGCTGCACCAGCTTGTGGAAACAGTGGAGCTAAAGTGAGGGGAATGGGTTGGGGGGAGGGGACAGGACAGAAGTCCCCTTGTTCCTCTATCACAGGGACTGCCTCTGGCCTTTTGACTCCAATGCGGTTTTAGTTTTCAGCCCCTTTCTCTTGCTGGAGGGTAGCACAAAGCACGGCCTCCAGTGGCATCCTTGTCTGTTGTCCCATCCGTTTCTTTGTTGATCCAGTGGTGTACTGGTACCTATTTAACAACCAGCACATCAGGGTCAAAAAAGCCCTGATTTGTAGCTTTTGCTGATTCCCATGGTGTAAATTCTTTCACTGGCTGCTTTAAAGCAACCAACGTGATGTCACCGAATGTGAAGTTGGGCAGAGAAGGGAGGAGCAGTAGCAGGGCTTAGGTAGGATTTTCACCACACAAATACAAGAGAGGTAAATAACCTCAGAAGCACAGACAATAGCAAAATGTAGTAAAACAGGCCACTACCTTTTGTGGTAATAATTTGGCTAAAAGTTTATGAAACTTTTTTTTCATGGCTTTTTAAAAGGCAGTAGGCAGAATCGCCCCCAAATTTCACAATCTGCTGTCATGAGCCAACGTGAGCCCGCTTCAGGACTCCACTGCATCCATCCATCCATCTGTCCGTCTGTCCACCCATCCCTTGGACCACTTCAGTTTCTTTCCATTCCATCCCTACCGCCACAACCCCCATTTAGGCCTCATTATCTCTCACCTGGAGTATCGATCGCCACAGCCTCCTGTCCAGGGCTTCAGCTCCTTTCTTCTTCTTCTTCTTCTTCTTCTTCTTCTTCTTCTTCTTCTTCTTGTAAATTTTATTACTTTTTAAAAATATTTATTTATTTTGAGAGAGAGACAGAGACAGAGTGAGAGCGGGGGAGGAACAGAGAGAGGGGCGGTTGGCGGGGCGGTGGGGGGGGGGGCGGGGTGGAGGGCCGGACAGAGGATCCAAAGCGGGCTCTGTGCTGACAGCAGAAAGCCCAATGCAGGGCTCGAACTCATGAACCTTGAGATCATGACCTGAAGTCAGACGCTTAACCCACTGAGCCACCCAGGTACCCTGTGTCCTCTCCCTTCTTATGCTGAAACCAGAGAGATCTTTCCAGTTTGATGACATCCTGCTCCTATTCCAAACACATCCTCGGCTCCCAATTGCCTAGAAGACAAAATTGCAACATACTTGCACAGTGTTCAATGAACGCCCTTGCCTTTCTGCCTTCTGCCACTGCTTCCCACCTCATTTCCCAGCCCCCATGACACTCCCTATACACCCCTGAACTCCTGGGCTCTCCCATTTTCCTACCATCATTTGCGTGGTCCACTCCAGAAGGACTCCCCCATACCCACTTCTCTTTCTGTTGTCCTTCAAGGCCCAAGTCAGATGCCATCTTTTTTTGTTTTTAATGTTTATTCATTTTTTTTGAGAGAAAGCCTATGCGCCAGCACGAATGGGGGAGGGGCAGAGAGAGAGGGGGACAGCGGATCTGAGGTGGGCTCTGAGCTGACAGCAGTGAGCCCGATGTAAGGCTCAAACTCACGAACCATGAGATCATGACCTGAGCCGAAGTCAGATGCTTAACCGACTGAGCCACCCAGGTGTCCCTCAAATGCCATCTTCTTGTGTTTTTTTAATTTTTAAAAATGTTTTTATTATTTTAATTTTTGAGAGAGAGACAGAGCACGAGCAGGGGAGGGGCAGAGAAAACAGGGGACAGAGGATCCCAAGCAGGCTTGAACCCATGAACCATAAGATCATGACCTGAGCCGAAGTCGGACGCTTAACTAACTGAGCCACCCAGGCAACCCAAATGCCATCTTGTTGCTGAAAGTTCTCCCTGCCTCATACCAACAGAACTCTCCTTGTACCTTTGTTATATCACCTAACACCTCCTGCCTCGTGTTAGAAGTAGCTGTATACACACCTGTCTCCCCCCAGGCTGTGAGGTTCTTGTCAGCAAAATTCAGCAAACAGTGGATGACCTACACCTATCATGTGCCAAGTAGTGTGCTAGGCCTGTGGGGTAAAAAAAAAATTTCAGGAAGAACTAAGCCCAGCCCTCAAACGCTCTCAGCCTTGTAGAAGAGATAAGATTCGAACGTAAACAAATATTAGCCCAGTGTCCTACGGCAGTTAAAGCCAAAAAGTGACCTTTCTTGGTGGGTGGGGTAGATCAGAGAAGAATTCACGAAAGAGGTGGCATTTGATCTGGGTCACCTGGACTGTTGTCCCATGCTGTTCATTGTCTCTCTTCTGACCTCCTTCATCACTTTCTGAACCTGGTACTGGTGCATCCTTGACTCAGTTCTGATGTCCCTGCTTGATGTTGCCTGCCTGGCGCTCCATATGCCTGGCAGGACTTCCTGACGCCCAGCTGTGTCCATGTCAGGATCCCAGAGGAAAGCCAGCCGCCCAGCAAGCAGGTGAAGCCACTGTTCCGCCACTTCCGCCGGATAGACTCTTGTCTGCAGACCCGAGTGGCCTTCCGGGGCTCTGATGAGAGTGAGTGGGGGCACTAAGAGGGGCAGAGCTTCCAGGGTGGCTCAGAGGGCCCTCTGGGGTCTCTGGATTTGGGGCATTCTCCTTATGTTGTAGAACCTGTCCTGTTTCCAGCATCTTTTTCAGAAGCTAACCAATTTAGGGTTAGGGGTGAGATGGGATGGGGAACAGAGGTGCCCTGGAGGGGACGATGCCAATACTGCCATTCTGCCTTCTAATGAAAACCCACCTTCCTGGCTCTGCCCAGTCTTCTGCCGGGTCTACATGCCTGACCACTCTTACGTGACCATACGCAGCCGCCTCTCAGCGTCAGTGCAGGACATTCTGGGTTCTGTGACAGAGAAATTGCAGTACTCAGAGGAGCCTGCAGGGCGCGAGGACTCGCTCATCCTGGTAGCTGTGGCTTCCTCCGGAGGTGAGGCTCAGGAACAGCAGGGCTGGGGGGGTGGGTGGGTGGGGGGGGCAGGCAGGAGAGGAGAAACTCACCTGCCCAGGGCTCTGGGGCATGGCTAAAGACAAATTCTAGGCCCTGGCTACTTGAAGCGTGGTCCTGGGGCCAGCCACATGAGCATCACCTGGGAGCTTATTAAAACTGCAGCACCTCAGACCCCACCAGACCTGCTGACTCAGAATGAGCATTTTAACAAGATTCCCAGGTGATTCCTATGCACATTAAAGTTTGGAAAGCACTGGCCCAAGACACTTGGATTGTGATCTAGGTGCTTGCCTCTTACTCATCTTGGGATCTGGTTCTTTAACCTCCTGGAGGCTACGTTTTTGAGGCTAAAACACAGGGTGGGCCTCCAATCCCTGTGGGAAGGCAGAGAGCCTGCAATGTAGCCAGAATCCTATTTTCCTCTGAGGCAAGGGAAAAAATATTCCAGTATCATGGGGATGATAGAATGACAGAAGAGCTGTGGAAGAATGTTGGGGGGTAAAAGAAGGTGATGAATGCTGAGGAAATCATTATTTGAAAATTTCAGATGAATGTGGCACAAACTGGTGATAACAGCAGTCCCATTCGTCTAGAATGTGTCCATGCAGGGTTAGGAGTTTCTAGATGGGATGGCGACAGTGGCTGGGGTGTGTGAGGGTGCAGATAGCCAGGGCTGAGGCAGAACAGCTCGTTCTCCTGCAGAGAAGGTCCTTCTCCAGCCGACTGAAGACTGTGTCTTCACCACGCTGGGCATCAACAGTCACCTGTTTGCCTGCACCCGCGACAGCTATGAGGCGCTGGTAAGAACTCCGTCACAAGGGCGTTGGCTGGGAGTGAGGGCCCAGAGGGACTATGGGGCAGAAACTCACAAGCCCAGAGTGGAGTCCAGCCCCTGCCTGTCACCAGATGCCCCTCCCCGAGGAGATCCAGGTCTCCCCTGGAGACACAGAGATCCACCGAGTGGAGCCTGAGGACGTCGCCAACCACCTTACTGCCTTCCACTGGGAGCTGTTTCGATGTGTGCACGAGGTGGGGACTGAAGGTGGTGCTGGGCTGGGGGCCTGGAGGGAGAAATGTGCCAACGTGGGGTCCTGGAGGCGGGCCATGTGTGCAGCTGAACTTTGCATTAGAAGGTGGCTGGCGGGGTGCCCTCGGGCAATTCACCCCCAGACCCTCTAAGCCTTATGTCTCCAATCTGAAAAAAGCAGCAAAGTGAGAGTCCTTAGTAAAGTGGGTCTAACCAGATAAGGTATCTTTAAAATATTCTCTACTAAAGAGAGAAATTAAGGCAGTGACAATACTGTCTATCAGATGGTTCGAGGACCTGGCACCAAATAAGCGCCCAGTAGATGGGAGAGTATTATTAATGGTGCTTCCCCTCTTCCCCCATTTCTGTTGCATCCCGTCTTGTCCCGGCTTCTTCTAATTTCCACCCCTCCTACCCCTGCCCTCCTGCCTTTGCCTCCTCGGGTCCAATCCACCTCCCGCCCACGCACACCTCCCACGCCCCGGCGGCCCCTCCGCCACGCGGACGTGGGTGCAGCTGGAATTCGTGGACTACGTGTTCCACGGGGAGCGCGGCCGCCGGGAGACGGCCAACCTGGAGCTGCTGCTGCAGCGCTGCAGCGAGGTCACGCACTGGGTGGCCACCGAGGTGTTGCTGTGCGAGGCCCCGGGCAAGCGCGCGCAGCTGCTGAAGAAGTTCCTCAAGATCGCGGCCATGTGAGTGCGGCCAGCCGGCGGAGGGGGAGCGCGGAGACCACCCCCCTCCCCCCACCTCGCGCTGACCTCGCCTCCCACCCCCGCAGCTGCAAGCAGAACCAGGACCTGCTGTCCTTCTACGCCGTGGTCATGGGGCTGGACAACGCCGCTGTCAGCCGCCTGCGGCTCACCTGGGAGGTGATGCATGGCTGCCCTCTCCTCTCCTCCCGCCTGGGCTGGCCCGGCTCGGGGATCTTGGCCTGCCGGGCTCACCCCGGTGCTGCCTCCCGCGGTGCGGCTGGCCCTTAGGGAGCCTTTGTGCCAGGCGGAAGGAGGCGCCCTCTTCTGGCAGATCCAGGCCCGGGGCACGCCGCTAGGTTAATGCGCCCTGTCCTTGCGCAAATTAGTAAAAAGCCGGAATCCCCGCCGGAGAGGGGGGCAGGCAGCCCAGGCCAGGTCGCAGACTTGGATGCTGGATTCCAGCCAGCGCTCAGTGAGGCCCCTTGTGCGTGGCAATGCCAACGCAGAGGCTCGAATTCCCCAGAATAATTCATTCCTCCGGGCTGCTTCAAGCTCCCCAGACCTCACCAAGAGCTGATTCTATTTCCCTACCCACCAGACCAGCTTGCCAGCCCCTTGCAAGATAGCCGGGCCCTTTCCCCCTCTGACACCTGGGGATTAGCCAGAGGTCCCCTGAAACGCAAGGAGCTCCAATCTGACATTCCTTCTCCTTCCTTCAAACTCTCTGCAGAAGCTGCCCGGGAAATTCAAGAATTTGTTCCGCAAATTTGAGAACCTGACAGTGAGTGGGTTCAGCTCTTTTATCTGCCCCTGGGCTTGCACCCCAGAGACCCTCTGTTCCCACAAACCTTCCTCCTCAAGCTTGCCTTTAAGGTTTTTAGTGCCCAAGACCCTTCCCCTGGCATGCTGGGAGGGGGAAGGGTGGGTGAATTGCTGCCCTGTTTGCTTTGGAGGTGAGGGGAGGACAGTCAAGCTCCTCCCCATCTCACCCCCAGCTAGACACCCATACATACCTCTCTCTGATCAGAGATGGATCTAGGGCAGGGGGATGAGGGAGGAGTAGGGGGCATCTTTGAGGTACACTGGGACTATGTGTGCCCTAACCTCTCTTCTGCGGAATGCCAGGACCCCTGCAGGAACCACAAAAGCTACCGAGAAGTCATCTCCAAGATGAAACCTCCTGTGATTCCCTTTGTGCCTCTGATCCTCAAAGGTGAGAGTCAATCCCATGCTCTTCTGGCCACAGTCTCTGTGCCCCAGTTCCGGCTATCAACCACTGCCACTTAGCTCTGAATGCCCACTGGAGAGGAGCCCCACACTGAGGGGTTGTGGGGGAGGGGAAGGGCCCTTTGCACCTCCTCTCTTCTTCCTCACATTTGCTTCTCTTCCCTCCCCTAGACCTGACTTTCCTGCATGAGGGGAGTAAGACTCTTGTTGATGGTTTGGTGAACATTGAGAAGCTGGTGAGTGGCACGGCCTACCCTGGCCCGGGAGCAGGGGCTGGCATCTTCCCCCCCCCCCAATCCTGGCAGCCCCCTAAAGACAGCAGCCTTCCTTCTTGGTGCCCAGCTTGCCTGACAGACTCCTGACCGTCCCTGCTGCCATTGCTGTGGCAACACGCCCACAGGCCACAAAGCTGACAGGGAGCTGGGGGGGGGGGGGGGCAACTCTACCTCCCCTCACCAGCCCCATTACACCCCTTCTTTGGTTCTTCAGAGACCCTCCAGAATTAGACCCTGGAGGGAGTGGAGTCAAACCAGCAGAGTTGGAGAATAGACCAGGGGGAGCTTAAGAGGGGGGGGGGGAGCATCTTTCTGTACCCTTTTTAGGGCTCATTTCTTGTCATCTCCCAGCATTCAGTGGCCGAAAAGGTGAGGACAATCCGCAAATACCGGAGCCGGCCCCTTTGTGAGTACCCAGGCTTCTAAGAGCTTTACAGGTAGAGCTTTGACTGAGCGGGAGGATTCCGGGAGGAGACTGTCTTCAATTCTTTATTTCCTTAAACTTGTCAGCTCTCCATCCTCTCTTTGGCCTCTCTAGGGACCCTCCTGTCCCAATCCACACCCCTCTTCTCTGGCTGGTAGGCATGTAGAGCAAGAAGGGAGGCTGGGAGCCTGAAGGCCTCTCTCTTGTCACACCTCCAGGCCTGGATATGGAGGCATCCCCCCATCACCTCCAGACCAAGGCCTATGTGCGCCAGTTCCAGGTCATCGACAACCAGAACCTCCTCTTCGAGCTCTCCTACAAGCTGGAGGCTAATAGTCAGTGAGAACAGAGGTTCTGGTCAGTGCCCCACCAGGGTCCTTGGGCACCTGGCACTCAAGCACTTTGCACGCTATCCCAACCCACCTCTGACATCTTTCCCTTGGAGCAACTTCCTGCCCCTCAGGAAAGAGTCGGATGGACTTACCCCTGGGCTCATAAGCCTGTTCATCCTGCTGAAGTCCTCTCCCCCTTGCTCCTTCAAGCCAAAACCGCACTCTGCTGGGTCCTGCCCTCGAAGGGATGGGGGACAGAACACTCCTTCCTCTGCCCCCTCTCATCAAGGTCTGTGCCAGAGACGGAGCTTCCAACCTCCTCCTCCCACGCAGACAGGAAAGCTGCCCACATTGTCTGTGAGACAGAGCGGAACTGTGGAAGGGATTGGCAGCCTTCCTCTCCACCCGTGGCCGGCTTCTCCCTGGTCAGGGCTGGGACCCCTGGATGCACCCCTCCTGGAATATTATATTGCCCTTGTGTCTGTGTGTGTGTGTGTGCGCGCGCGCGCGTGTGTGCACCTGTCCCCCTTTAAGAAGCAGCAGCACATCTGTAACTGAGGGAGGGTGTTGTGTGTAGCAGGGGTCCTTCTGTTTGGTGCTACCCTGGTCTACTTGGCCCTGTGATGGTGCGGGGTGCTGTCCCCACCCCCACCACTCCCTGCTCAGCTCCTTGTGCTGCCCCATGTGCCCAAGCCTGTGGGTGAAGCTGCTCGTGGGGCAGGGGGCAGCAGCGAGGGGGAAGGGGTTACCTGTCAGCCCTTGGGAGTCCTCCACTCACGCCTCCCCAGGGTCTCTGGGTGGGCTCTGGTGAGAGGGTAAGAGATGCTCAGGGAAACACAGGCCTAAGCTGCCTACAGGACACTTCCTCTGCATTGTGGGGTAGGATGTGGTGGTATCAGGAGTTGGGGGTGTTTGCTGCCCACACTCCTTCTTTTGGGGTGTGTTACTGCTAAGAAGGGAGCTGTCATCCCCCTCCTTCTGGCTCTTCTGTGGGACACCAACAACATGGTCTCTATCCTCCTCCCTGTGTTGACTCCCCCTTGGTCCTCCCCATCAGAGCTGGGGTGGGGCAGACCCCTGTCCCTGGGCAGGTAGCCCACAGAAGTGAGGGGAGGGAATGGCTGAGACCGTAAAGGCCACACTGGACTGTGGTGATGCCTTTAATACCTCTCTGTCTCCCCTCCCTCTCCCACACGGGCCTCCAGGGCTGAGGGGCGCAGGGCTCCTGGCAGCTACCGGGTGAGGTTCCCTGGCACAGCCTCACCCTCCTTTCTGGCGCCACCTCTTTCTCTTCTGAAGAGGCAGCAGCAGCAACAGCAAAAACAGCTGCTGCTCCTGCTCTGAGGGTGTATATATTTTTTACCAAAAGCTCTGGAATTGTAAATTTATTTTTTAAAACTCAAAGAGGGAAAGAGCCTTGTATCATATGTAAACATTGTATCATAGGTTATGTTGTACAGTCCCTTTTATACAGTGGTCTGTCTCGTTCCTGCCACAAAAGATGTCTATGGACCCCTCATTCCCCATACATACACCGGCACTGTGTCCCACCACCTCCATCCCCCAAGGACGGTGACCATAGGCCCCCCTCCCGCTCCCTGCTTCCTCCCTGCAGCTTAACACGTGCTCTCCTCCCCCTGGGCCACCCTCCTCCTGACCCCACGCAGCAGCCTTCTCTCACAGATCCCACAACCCTCCTCAAGCACTGGGGCCCACTGGTCCAGTCTTCGCTGCTTCCCGCCCCCAGTCGTGATGCCTGCCCCGCTGCTCCCCAACTTTGCCAGAGTGAACCGTGTGTACCGTACAGGCTCGGTTGTCTGCAGAAGCCGCTGGCTGGAGAAAAAGCTGATAAAGTCTATGAATCAAGCTGCTTGCTGTTATCCATTCTGTTTCTCTGAGGGAGAGGGTGAGGGAGGGGAGAGGGGAGAGGGGACCGCCTCTCAGTGTGCTGGGCCCCTCAGCAGGGCTGTTCTCAGTCTGGAAAGTCTGGAAAGACTTTTAAAATGTGGATGAGGGAAAAGTGCCAGCCTCTTAAGACTTGCCACATAGTGTCTGGAACTTGGAAGAGTGGAAGTTTGAGTTCTTCCATGTTCCAGGTGCCCTAGACATGGGATCTTGTTAAATTCTAACACCATAAGGTGGAAGATGGAATCCTAGCATAAGGTCCAAGTTACAGGCGAGCGAGGGGGCAGAACTGGGCCCCTAACTCAGATCTGTCACTGCAGACAGCATGCATGCTCATTCCCCCAGCCGCTACCCAGACAGCACGCGCCATTCACACAACCAGTGTCTGCCAGTTATACTAGGATGGGGGCATCTAGAGCCTTAGTGCTCTAAGGATGGCCTAAGCTCCAGCAGATGACATATTCAGACAGCTACCCATGAGTCCTTGACCTTCCCTTGGCCCACATCTGTTATTCCCTGTCTCCTGCATCTTAGAAAACGGTCCTCTCATCCACCCAGGTTTTCAAGGCAAGGATGCAGGACTCGCCCTGATGCCTCCTTCTCATCCCTCCCTCACTCATCAACCAGTCTGTCCTGCTACAATTCCAGGACACGTCCTGATTGATCCACTTCCCTGACTCCTCTATTACCATCTAGTGCAAACCATTTGTGGGTCTTGACCCACACTAGCCTCCTGTCTGGTGTCTCAGTTTCCTCTGCCCAACCCAACCCTAATCCCACCACTTGGTTCTCAGAGTGCAGCCAGGTTGCTCTGCTAAAAACCCACATCAGATCATGAATGACTACAATTTTAAAAAGTGGTAATACCAGTATCAGCAAGGGTGTGGAGCAACTGGAACCTTTATATGCTGTTGGTGGGGAGTGTGAATTGGCACAGCTACTTTGGAAACCTGCTTGGCAGTGCTTACAAAGACTAAATGTACACCTAACCTATGACCTAGAATTTCCACTCCCAAGAGAAATCAGTGCTTGATGTCCAGTGAAAGACACAGCCAACAGTGATCAATAGCAGTTTTATTAATGACCGTGAAACTGGAAGAAGCCAGAATGTCCTTCAGCAGGTGAATGGATAAATCAATTGCGGTATACTATTACAACGGAATACTACGTAGCAATAAAAAAGAACTACAACCTGCATGAAGGAACCTCACTCACAGACGTAATGCTGAGTAAAAGAAGCCACACACATAAGACTACAAACGGTAGGATTCTACTTAAGAGAAATTCAAGAATAGACCCAATTAATCTATGGGGATAGAAGTAAAAATAGTGGTTACTTCATGGGGATGGGAGAGAGTATTGACTGGGAAGGGGCATGAGGAAGCCCTTTGTGGTGATAAAAATGTTTTATATTTTTAAAAATTTATACTTATTTATTTTGAGAGAGGCAGAGACAGTGCACGTGGGGGAGGGGCAGAGAGAAAGGGAGACAGAGAATCCCAAGCAGGCTCTGCAGTGTCAGCGTGGAGTCCAGTGTGGGCTTGAACCCACAAAACCATGAGATCGTGACCTGAGCTGAAACCAAGAGTCGGACGCTTAACCGACTGAGCTACCCAGGCGCTCCAAGA